CATGAGCAACACATAATTGGACTGACTACAACTGGAGCAGCACCAGGAGGTATAGCTATAATTAGTAGTTCAAACTACCGCTGTGATAACTTTGAACCTAAGGAGTGGAAAGATCTTCAACAGTATCCCTGTATAAGAGAAGAGAAAAGGAAACAAAGTGGGTAGTTAACTGTGAAGCTTAAGTGGAAGAAAAGTAGTAAAGGTAAATAATAAGAGAGGAAGTGACAGGTGAAGATGCTAAGATCAGGGTGCCATGATACACTATGCAGCTCATCAGGACCGGCATAACAATAGATTTGTTTTGGTGCAGTTTGTAGGAGGGTGAAGATAAAATGGAATATTATACATATTTTATTCTGCAGCATGACATGCAATAAGGAGGATTGCCTAAGAAGCCTATATAATACTGTTTACTTTGGTAGAGTGGAAGCAATGAGTCCTGGCAGAGCTGTTTTGCTGATAAAATGAATTAAGCATTTTTTAAGTGACAGAGAACCAAATTCTGCTTCACTTCTGCTTCAATAGAAACTCTTGAATGCAAAGAGGTTACTCCAGTTTTCCTCTTATTTAAGGAGAACAGAATTAGGCCTGGCTATGTTTTAAAATTTGAGCCTTTATTTTTGCCATTCTTAAAACAGAGGCTGAGATTTTGGCACCAGAAGAAAATGCTGAAAAAGAATCTCTGTAAACACTGAGAAGAAATTAAAATGAAACCCACTGCATCCCAAGCCAATCCTTTAGCTACTCTGCTGCAAGGCAGAAACAAATTGAAAAAGAGGTTCTGTGGGGGAGCTCAGGAAATTTTGCCCAAAGTTTGTTGTGAACAGAAAAAAAAAATTACAAAACAATTGGGAATAGGGAGCATGGCAATTTTTAATAAGTAGAAAAACAGTGGGAGTTCAACTTTTTACCAGTTTCTAAGTACAGACAAAGGCTTCCCAGCTGTCACATTGTGTTCACCATGAAAATTTGGTGGTAGGATGGTAAAAAAGAAAAAGCCAGTGTGAATATTGCAAATGAACTGCTTTGTTTTGTCACAATCTTCTAGTTCCACTTGTGGGTGTAGTTTGACATATTCCAGATGGGAGCAAACACAATTGAAATAGAATAAGAAGCAAAGTGAAACACACTCATCACTTCATAGTACTTATTTTGCCTCATTATAATCATATTCAAAACACTATGCTGTAGTTTAATTTAAACATATCAAATGTGACAGCTCTGAAATAATGAAAACAACTCTGCTTTCATGTTTATGGTACCATGAAAATGCATGGTGAAATTAATCATTTATACTGAAGCAGGTAAATGACAAAATGAGTTGTATTTCTTTTTTCATATATATTTAATAGGCTCCAAATAAAGACCATCTTTTCCTTCCTTATATCAATTTTCCTTTGCTTCTTACAAAGAAATGGGGCAGAGTTTTTTTTTTATTTCAAGTCCAGTTTATCATAAAAATGACCTCTTACTGTTTACAGAAATGTAGGATCTAAACACTTCAGGTAAAATCCTGTTTCACCTTTAGGCACCTAATTCAACCTTACAGAGCTGGGCAAGTGTGATTTTTGGCCTTTGTGACAGTTTAATATATTTGTACCTATGGAGCTGTCCTGTTCTACCCTTCCTCACACACTCAGAATGCTGTATTATAGCCACATAAACTCTGGCTTGGAATAGTATTGCCTAACTGCAAGTGTAATGACACGTGAGCCCCTGAAACCTCAGTCAGAGAAAAGCATAAGTAGCCTATGTTTGACACCATAGGAGGAAAACTCACCCACTTCTTTATCCAGTAATTAGGTCACTTGCCTAGGGTGTGGAAGGCTCAGTTCTAGCATCACTACCCAGAAACTTTTTGTACCTCACTTTCTTTCTTCCTTCCTTATAAAGGGCTCTGACCACCAGACTGTGGGCTGGGAATTTCCTGGAGCACATTCCAGGTGTCTTTTTGAAGCTGGCCCACTGGGCAGTCAAAACAGGAAGAAATATGGGAGTAGGAGCAGAACAAGCCATAGTGAGCTAGATATTACTGTCAAAAGGTGGAGACTCTAGGTTCTTATCCCACGAATGCAACAACTATTTCACTATGCAATATTAAATGCATAGTGCATAAATGCCGTTGAGACTAGGGGCCAGATACAATGGCTAAGCAGCAGAGGCTAAATTTAAATGATGTTGTGTGCTCCCAGCAACTGCTTAAAACAAACATTATTTTTAAGAATGTAAAAGCATAATTTTTGTTATTAAGTGCCATGGGCAAATATAACACCTTTCCCGGTTTACTGATTTATTCAGATGTCTCGGAGTTAGCCCCTGCAGATTGCTAACCATTTTAAAACCAAGCTAGAAAATAAAATTCAATTCCCCCAGATTTCTTTCTTTCTTTTTTAGGAAGAGGAGAGGATGAGACGTTCAGCAGATCAGCAGGCATCCTGGTTTTCTCTGATCTAATCCCCTCCCCCCCCCCCAATTTTTGGTTTTAAAAAAGTAACCCCAAATCCACATTTTTTCCATGATTAAAATGAAACACCACTATATATATAGTGGCTCCTGGCCCCAGCTCCCCCCAGCTCACTGTTAGCTGCCCTGCTGACAGATTAAGACAGAGGGATGGGACTTACTGCACCCATGCACGTACCACCCCACCCCCAACAATTGTGGGGCAGATGCTGTTCCCTGCTCAGCTCCTTGAGTGCAAAGCTGGGTGGGGACAGACTGCGGAGCCAGGGATCATGGAGCTGGATGGGGAACAGGCTCCCCAGGCCCACCAGCATGGAGTTCCCAGCACCAGCTCAGGCTGGGAGATAAGGATTTCCTCACACCAGCCCCACAATCATGGAGCTGGTGCTGGGAGATAAGGACCTCCCAGTGCCAGCCCTGCTGTCGCAGAACTGGAGCTGGCAGATAAGAGTCTCTCATCCTTCATTCCCTGAATTGCAATCTTAGAGTTGGGGGCTTGGAGCATCCTGCTGCTAGGGCAGGTGGACATAGTCCTCACCCCAAAGCCTGCCCTGGCAGCAAGCAGCTCCTGTAGGCAGGGAGCAATTTCCCACACACTGGTGGCCGGCTGATGGGGAGAAGATTTGCTCCTGGTCAGGTGTCTACATGAGCACTACTGTTGAGTTTGTAATTGGAAGTAAATTTGCTACTTACATTTGCAGGTAGCAAATTTACTCACAATTAACGAGGTTTACTGCACAGTAAGCATGTGTCCATGCAGATGCACTTGCTTACTGTGCAGCAAACTATGCGACTTCACAGTAAAACATCTCGTGTAGTTGCACCTAGTGGGTGGAAAAGAAATTAAATCAGAAACCTCACCAGAAATTTGTGAGGTTGAATAAAGTTGTCTGGGGTGGGAGTGTTAAAGAAACAACAAGAGTGTTAATAGGTTGGAAGCTCAAGGAGAATTGTTAATGAAGGATATTGTCTCTTTCAGAGAAGGAGATTGAAGATCTTTCTCAAGCAATTTTATTTGTAGCATTTTTCTCCAAGGTGTGAATAGGGAATAAGGTTCATTCTGCCTGATATTAAGCAATCTGGTGTGGACCAACAAAGCATTAAACTATGTGCTTAACTTTACGTACATGAGTTGTTAGAGTGACTTTAATAGTCATGTTAAGTAAATAAATAAAATTAAGTTAATCAAATTGAATTATAGTAAAAATGGAATGATGCAAGCATGCTAAGAATTCAGGGAAAGTAGGTGAATAGTTTTCATGCAGCACTGATTAGAAGTTTCTAATTGATCAGTATTCACTGATTTTTAACCAATTAAACCCAGGTTTCATGTCTTCTGCTGCTGCTTTACTGCAGGGTCCAGGAAGATTTTTTTGCTGTCTTTCTTGAATGTTTAGCTTACCTTCCTCTTTAAGCATTGAAGAATGGTCATGAGTTGAGAGGGGCGTTTTGATGCCCTTAGTGGTCCTGAGAAACTTTCAGGTTCCTGGTGTTTCTGCTCACATGCTGCAGGTCAAATAAATCAACAGATTGAGGGTCAAAAAGGAATAGTTGAAATTAAAAAGGAGCCTTTTTTCTTTTCCTGCAGCATGGGGCATGACCCACTTTTGAGACCACTATAGCTACTATTGCAGGTATAAAAGGAATTTGGCATTGCCATTCATCTCTTCTAATCTCTTTCTATGGCACACTATATGTTTTTAGACTTTTGAATTTGTACCAAGGATCTTAGGACCTTGTCAGACCTTATGTGGTAAACCAAACAAATTTTAATCAATTCACTGTTGTTCAGCCTAGTGAAGCAGTTACACAGTAAGTTGAAAAACCTGCTCTGACTATCCCTCATCTATACAACTGTAAATTGCCACTAGAAGCTTGGTGAGCAGGACTAGGAGCTAGAGGAAGGACAGACTTGCTACTCCTGCTGGCCAGAGTGAGTGCTATAGCCCTGGAGTGCCTAGCAGCTGTGTTGTCTCCTGTTGCCACTCACACCGGCTGCTAGTCCTGGAACAGCTGATGTTAGCAGTGCTGGGAAGGCAGTGCCCCCTTACTTAGACTGGCTCACTCTGCTCCTGATGGGAGCAAGTTATGGTGGGAAGTATCACAGCCACCAGGCATGATGACCCCAGGGGGCAAGGTGCTGTGCCTGACCCCTTTGTGCCCCAGCATCCCTTTTCATCCACAGTGTTCTGTGTGGAGTACTTCAACTTGAGCAGAAAAGCTATGGCGGGTGGCCATAAATTAATGGAACAGGCCAAAATTAGGCAGATTAGAGATAATCCTGCCCTGGAGTGGTGTAATGTTAAACCAAATAATGAGTGCTTTAAGCCACTCAAAAGTTGTTAACATGCAGCCAGTTCAGAGATTCAGTGCTCCAGAAAATGCCTTAACTCTATGTGTAACAAGGCCCTTAGTGTTTTATACAGCTTGCTTGGAGTGCTTTGTGGCATGAGGAAGTAAATACCACTGATACCACTGCAGACCCTATATATATATATATATATATAATTCTCTGTGCTTGTGCTGCAGGAAACTGTACCATAGTCCCTTCCAGTCTTATGTTCCTATATTTTTACTTCGGGCTCATAATACTGGATACTTGCTGGACAATTACTTTTAGACCAGTAAATAAAATTTGGGCCATATATTTGTTCTGATAATTTAAGCTTTATGCTACATTTAGGTCATGAAATTGCACTAAATAAGAAACAATTTATGAGAGAGCCTGCTAATACAAAATGCATTTTCTAATTTACTCATGCATTTTTAAGTATCATTGGAAAACGTTAGAATGTTATAAAGGTAATATAAATTGTTTCCACTAGTTACCAATCAAAGGGATACAAGTGCATTATTATTCATGTGCTGTTTCTGATTATTGAGGGTAAATGTGATTTTTTTTTTAATAATACCAGAACATACCAGATTTTTACTTTTTGTCCCCCCTTTTTCAGCTGTATCCTGTGGTATTCCAGAATCTCCAGGGAATGGTTCAGTTATGGGTAATGAATTCTCTTTGGGCAGTAGAGTGATATATGAATGCAAGGAGGGCTTCAAGCTAGAAACTAGTCAACAAGCAACAGCAGTGTGTCAAGAAGATGAATTATGGAGTAACAAAGGGAGGCCACCTGTCTGTAAACGTAAGTGTGCATATATTTCTCAGGCATATTTCTCTTGAGTTAGCTCTGAGAAATTTTCTATAGTGAATGTTAGCTTTCTGTACATGGAACTCATTTTTTGGCCATTGTGGGATTAATTTTAATGCAGGAGTGAAACATTCTTTTAAATTAAGAGTAATGCAAAACAGCCTTAAAGCTCTCTTAACCAGCTATACAAATATTTCCTCATGTGTGGTCATCTATTGTACTTAGCTCTTTATCACCCTCCATGCTGAATCCCTAGTTGCAGAATGGTGTCTTAGGGACCACTCTTCCTACACTCTACAAGCATGAAAACCTGAGGCTGCTCTAATCATCACAAAGTCCAATTTTCAAGATTGTATCAAGATCACAGAACAAAAAGATGATATGAGGCCATTGTTGCATTGCTGAGGTTAATGCTAAACAAAGTTGTGTTCAGCTGAGAATCTCTCCGCTAATTTGGCAATAAAAACTGTGTGTTCATAGTGTTTTAAGTATACATGAGCCCATCTCTGCCAACAGATAAAAGTATTTTGGACATGCATTCACTGGCAGTAACTGTAGTAGGCATAAGGCAAAGACCTATTATGTTTATTATTTCTTATTTAACTTTTAAAAGAAATCTGATGTAAATACCCAAAAATAATATGCACCTATCATCTCTGTGTTACCATTATTATGCCCAGTCTTTCTCCTGACATCTTTCAATAATTATTGCCTGTCACAATTTATTTCAATATGGATTGTAAATTATTAAAAGCAGGTTCTGTTTCTTAAAATGTTTGTACAGCATCCAACCCAGGGGAGCCCTGATATTGATAGGGAACTGAAATACTATTAATACATTAATGTCTAAGCTATGAATTTAATATGAGCTATAGGCCCCTTTCCATGTTGCAAAAATAACACTGGAAAAATCAAGTAAATTGTTTTTATATATATATAAAAACTCTCATTATTTAAACTGTTTTAAAAATTCTAATTGGTTTGCCCATGTAGGTGGAATACGACTAAAACATTACTTTGCCTATGAGAGATGCTTCCTGCTTTTTTAACTTTCTTAAGGGGAAAAAAATGCTACTTGACTTCATAGTCTTGAATGTATGCACTCGATTTACAAATTAACTCAGACATCCACAACTGAACAACATAGCCTTGAAAGACACAGGACTGATTTATTACAGCTCCCCTAATGTACAGGAATCCTTAAGTAATAATGATAGAAGGGTGGCTGAGTAACCAAAATGATGTGATGGCCTGAAAAGATTTTGACTGTAGTTCTGGATTATGGTTTATGAAAATAAAGCAACCAACATGTTGATTTCCACATAAGCCATCAAATGGCATTCTGCCAAGCAAATTCAGTTTTGAATTGGACACACAGAGGTGAGAAGCTGCATAAATTATATTGCGTTACTTTGAATCAATAGCTTGCTTTAAAAAAGCATGAAAATTGACGATTTTATTGTAGCAGTGCATACAGTTTGAATAAATGTGAATGAGAAAATGGAGGGGTGAAAGCGGACCAAAACAGTTTGACAAATAATTAGAAAGGATTAAGATAAGGAAATGTTTTAGAGTGTTTCATGAAAAGATTTGAACACTACTTGTCTCCTTCAGGTGGCCAATCAACAGTTATCTTCTGTGTTTTTCAGCTCTAACAAAATAGATTTTTCTTAGCGACTACATTCTAAGATAACTTTTTTGCCTTTTCAGCTTAGAACTGCCTTGGTTTTTTTTACATTGCGTAAAATTCTCCAATTTTAGGATAAAATACTTAAAGCTTTTATATCAGGGATACTCAGCCCCTCACTTGTGAGCCAGATTGACCCACAGAGCTGTGACATCTGGCCCACAGGGCTCCCCATGGGTTCAAAACTTTGGCAGTGGGGGAGTGGTGGCAGCATTAATTGCCACTCCCCTACTCCCAAGTTTCCAAACCCATGAAAAGCCCTGTAGGCAAGATAGCATGGCCCTGCTAGATCACATGCATGAATCAGGACTGGTCACAAGACATGATCAGGGCATGAAGGGCCTTATCTGGGTGGTGCAAATCTGGATCTAGGTGCATGGGGCCTGATTTGGGTGGTGCAAGGTAGGATCCAGGCTGAGGAGCCCAATCTGGGCACAGCAAGGTGGCATCCTGATCCAGGTAGCATGAAGTGGCATCTGGGAATGCAGGGCCCAATTTAGGCAGTGGAGGCGTATGGGGTCTGATCTGGACTCCAAACTTGTGGATCTAGGACATGGACTAGCACCACATGACTCATCTAGGCCATAGGACCAAAAGGTTGAGCACAACTCATTTAGATTATGATGTCATCCTGAACATAGCTAGACTTTTCCAAAAATATTCTTTTTCTGGTGAATTTTTGGGAATTCTTCTAGGACAATTGTTGCATGTGACCTAGAGCATAATAAATTAATGTTTATCTGTCAGATGATATCACACAAAGAACAGAATATAGAGGTATTTAGCCTTGTTTGTCTGAAGTCAGGCTAAAGGTAGGCTAGGGGATGTTGGAGACTAAGTGGTTCAGAGAGGTATGCATTTTCATAGGCAACCATCTACTTTCTCCAATGCTATGATCAGAAGAGTTCAATTGTACAAATTATGCAGTTTGAAGCAGGTTTAGGGTATGTGTTTGTTCCTTGCAATATGGAAGTCAGGGTGGCTTTGTCTGCACATGCTGTTTCTCCCTTAGGATAGGGAGCAGGGAAGAGACAAAGGGGTTTATCATCAAAACTGGGGCATAAAGCTAAATAGGGCTCATATCTCTCTGACCTCAGTGTCACAGAAGATGTCAGGCTGAAGGCAGGAAAGGGAAGTGGCTGAAGTTCAAAATGCTGTGACTTCCTCAGTTGATGGATGGACTTTGTGGAATCTACACAAACTGTCACAGATTATAGTAGCTTCCAGATTTTGGGAAGATACCTGGGAGCCATAACTGGCTGTTGGTTTTCAGCATCTCTTTCTTTTCCTCTTCCAACTGATGCTGAAAGCAATTTGTGAGTGTGAAACCATCCAACTCTATTCATTCTCTTAGGCTCAGGAGATTATTGCCTTATGTGCAACAGGAAAACTAATAGATTTGATCATTCTACATCAGTTTTTACACAAGTTTTTACACAAGGGTGTAGTAGCATTAACTTTGGAAAAGGTTGTGTACAGCATGATGGACAGCAGATGGACAACATGGAGGTTGAACCTTTGTAGAGACAACTATAGTAGCTAAACTGAGTAATAAAAAATAGTCAATTGTGTGCACTTGAAAAGCATTGGATGAAACTGAAGGAACCTGACAAACTTTAAAGGGAGAGCCCAAAAAATTCTTATTGAGAAACTAAAGAGAGCTTGTCACCTTCTCCTGCATGCGTTTTGCATGTGGCATATAGACACACACACACACACACACACACAAATCCCTCTCCACTGTCTTCTTCAGCAGCCCATTGCAGTCAAGGATGATTGTCTTCCATGACTGGCTAATCTGAGTGGCCAAAGATGGCTGATGAGCAGGTATCCGGGTTTTCAGTTTGCCACAGTAAAACCAAGATTTTATCATTTTAAGGAAAAACCCTGGATTGTCTCATTGTAAGGAGAAAAACATGGTAAATGGTGGGTTTTCCCTAGAAGGGTGGTAGAGTTCCAGCCTGCAAGGGGCTAGGGACAGTAGCAACTCATAGGGGATGCACCCTCTGACTGGCTGCACTCGCCGCTTAGGTGATGG